AGAACCACATAGACCCAGAACTACATAGAACCAGAACTCCATAGAACCAGAACTACATAGATCCTGAACTACATAGAACCAGAACTACATAGATCCTGAACTACATAGAACCACAACTACATAGATCCTGAACTACATATATCCTGAACTACATAGATCCAGAATTACATAGAACCAGAACTACATAGATTCAGAATTACATGAAACCAGAACTACATAGAACCAGAACTACATATATCCTGAACTACATAGATACAGAATTACATAGAACCAGAACTACATAGATTCAGAATTACATGAAACCAGAACTACATAGAACCAGCACTACATAGATCCAGAACTATATTTAGAAGCAGAACTACTTAGATCCAGAACTACATAGATCCAGAACTACATAGATCCAGAACTACATAGAACCAGAACTACATAGATCCAGAACTACATAGAACCAGAACTAAGTTCTATCAATGCCAAACCACTGGGCATGATCTAAACTGTTCTATCAATGCCAAACCACTTGGCATGATCTAAACTGTTCTATCAATGCCAAACCTCTGGGCACAATCTCAGAGAGTATTAATGCCATACCACTGGGCACGTCTAATTTTGTACGCTAAACGAGTAACAATTACTTCTCTACCGTAATCAAAACAGAGTTTATCAAAACTCTGCAAAATATTTGGGATTTCTATCTTACAATTAAGTTAACATTAATCAACAGAATTACTTATACATACAATGTAATTAAGCTAATAAGCTAATCATATTACATAATTATTTACAGCGCAGTTAGATAAATCATGAAATGGGTTTTAATTAGCTTTTTACAACGTAAATAATTGATAATGTAGAACGTAATTCAGGTTTACAGATTATAGTGTTACATTATTTTTATTAACATAGAACCATAACCTCCGTAGAACCAGGGCTACATGGATTCAGAACTACAGAGGCCCTGAACTTCTTAGAACTAGAACTACATAGAACCATTAACTACATAGAACCATGAACTACATAAAACTAGAACTACATAGATCCAGAACTCCAGAACTACATAGATCCAGAACTATATTTAGAACCAAAGCCTCCATAGAACCAAAACTACATTGATCTAAAACCACACAGATCCAGAACTACATAGATCTAAAACTACACAGATCCAAAACTACATAGAACCCAACTATATATTTACATAGATCTAAAACTACACAGATCCAAAACTACATAGAACCTAACTATATAGATCCAAAATTATATTTAGAACTAGAATTGCATAGAACCAGAACTACATAGATCCAGAACTACATAGAACCAGAACTACATAGATCTAGAACTACATAGATCTAGAACTACATAGATTCAGAACTACATAGATCCAGAACTACATAGAACCAGAACTACATAGATCCAGAACTACATAGATCCAGAACTACATAGATCCAGAACTACATAGATCCAGAACTACATAGATCCAGAACTACATANAGTATAGAATAAGAAGAGGGGAGTATAGAATAAGAAGAGGGGAGCAAAGAATAAGAAGAGGGGAGTATAGAATAAGAAGAGGGGAGTAAAGAATAAGAAGAGAGGAGTATAGAATAAGAAGAGGGGAGTATAGGATAAGAAGAGGGGAGTTAAGAATAAGAAGAGGGGAGTATAGAATAAAAAGAGGGGAGTAAAGGATAAGAAGAGTGGACTATAGAATATGAAGAGGGAAGTATAGAATAAGAAGAAGGGATTATAGAATAAGAAGAGTGGAGTATAGAATAAGAAGAGGGGAGCATAGTATAAGAAGAGGGAAGTATAGAATAAGAAGAGGGGAGTATAGAATAAGAAGAGGGGAGTAAGGAATAAGAAGAAGGTTGTATAGAATAGGACAAGGGGAGCATAAAATAAGAAGAGGGGAGTATAGATAAAGAAGAGGGGAGTATAGAATAAGAAGAGGGGAGTATAGATAAAGAAGATGGAAGTATAGAATAAGAAGAGGGGAGCATAAAATAAGAAGAGTGGAGTATAGATAAAGAAGAGGGGAGTATAGAATAAGTACGTAGGGAGAGAGTAGAATGAAATGTAGTGAATTATATCACCAAAGGAAGGACGGGTTCATATTCTACAAAAAAGAAGGATGGTTTAATATTTCACCAAAAGAAGGACAATATTATATTTCACCAAATGAAGGACACTTATTTCTCCTAAAGAAGGATGGGTTCAAATTTCATCAAAATAAGGATGGGTTCCTATTTCACCAAAAGAAGGACAGGTTCCTATTTCACCAAAAGAAGGACAGGTTTCTATTTCACCAAAAGAAGGACAGGTTCCAATTTCACCAAAAGATGGACGGGTTAATATTTTACCAAAAGAAGGATGGGTTCATTTTTCACCAAAAGAAGGACGGGTTTACATTTCACCAAAAGAAGAACAGATTTATAGTTCACCAAAAGAAGGACGGATTTATCTTTCACTAGAAGAAGGATGGGTTAATATTTGACCAAAAGAAGGACGGGTTCATATTTAACCAAAAGAAGGACGGGTTCATATTTCACAAAAAGAAGGACGGGTTCATATTTAACCAAAAGAAAGACGGGTTCATATTTCACAAAAAGAAGGACGGGTTCATATTTAACCAAAAGAAGGACGGGTTCATATTTAACCAAAAGAAGGACGGGTTCATATTTAACCAAAAGAAGGACGGGTTCATATTTCACCAAAAGAAGGATGGGTTCATATTTCACCAAAAGAAGGATGGGTTCATATTTAACCAAAAGAAGGACGGGTTCATATTTAACCAAAAGAAGGACGGGTTCATATTTAACCAAAAGAAGGATGGATTTATCTTTCACCAAAAGAAGGACGGATTTATCTTTCACCAAAAGAAGGGCGGATTCATATTTCACCAAAAGAAGGACGGATTTATCTTTCACCAAAAGAAGGACGGATTTATCTTTCACCAAAAGAAGGATATGTAGGAGAATGTTCCGTAAATAAACAGGAATTTATTTTTTCAATTTAAGAAAGATTCTGTTGACCAACGGCAACACAACAATTCTGACTTAATACTCTTTGTTTAAAAATATTGAGAACTTTATGATTCATGAACAGAGGTTTGACTCTGTAAAAAAATTCTTTATAATTTTTCTACATATCTGCACATAGAAAATTGTAAATTTATTGTCTCCAAGTTTGTTGAATCCTTGGTTGAAATCTGTTTGGTAAAGTGATGTATTAATATTTTATACAGTTCCCCCACTCTCCATATTGAAATTACTTGTCTCAGAGATCCAAGAAAAAAAGCTTAAAAATTTTAAAAAAAGAAAAGAAAATATACTTTCTTTGTTTTTATATAAATATACTTCTGGAAGATTTTTTATAAAATACACACCGCAGTGCAGGGGATACCAAATAGATTATAGTACAATAGATGGCAACGTAGACTTGTACATTCTCAGTACAGCTGTGTTCTGACGTCACAAGTGTCAACTTAGTATTTGTGTCCGACAAAATTATTAATAGTAATAATTTTAGGAAAAAATGTTTATTTTACAGTAAAATAAGTGCAATTTTAAGTGTTCTCTAGTTTCTGTTTTTACAGTTTTTTATTTAATTTTGGTCAACCAATGTGAGAAAATTTCGTTTTCCTTGTTATATTTTACACTCGTGACGTCGTGTACAGTTGGTCGGTTTCTCTGTTCCCACCTATTTGGGGGATACTACCCAACCAGGGTTATGATTCTTTCTGCCACTTAACAAATGTCTATAAAAATTATGTTTTGGTTTTTATTTTGTTTAAATTTTACCTGATTCACATTGATATGAATTTGTGTAAATATTTTAAAATCAGGAAATGTTTCAGAAAACGAAATGGACATGAAGTGTGGTTACGTGATTCAAAACTAGGGATTTTTTAGAAAACGAAATCAAGACTCCTAAAAAACTATTTCTCACACTTTATCATTTTTTTAAAGTTGATATTGCTTAATTAAATATATAGTCCGGGGATTGATCGTTATTTTTGTTTTCGTTATATAAACGAAGAGGAAAAACGAAAAAATGAAACGGTCGTTTGTGTAAAAGATCGTTTTTGAAAAGTTGGTCATTTTTGATTTTTGACAATTGTTAGCAACTTCTTAAAGACAAAATGCATTTTTTAGTCGGAAAATTCTTAGATCAGAAATCCCTAAGGTCAGAAAACAGTTTCGTTATTCCTCTCAAAGAAACAACATTTAAGACAACATTAATAAACTTATCTTCCTGAAAAACAATTGAAATTTTTTGTTATAAAACTCAGATCTATTAGCTAAATTTTTTTCAAAAGCGATCCTTCAAAACGAGTGGTTCGTTTACTAAAACGATATTTTTTCTAAAAACGAAACGATCGTTTTAGAAATAACAAAAAACGAAACGAAAAACTATAGCTTTTTTTGATCGATTTAAAAAACGATTATTAATCCTAATTCTCCTAATAGTATGATTTCCCATTTTTATAAATGTATGTTGCAGTTTTTTTGCTTCTATACTTGGATTGAAAGATTTCTTGAAAAGATAAAAATTGCAATTTTGAAAGCATTGTTCCCTGCACTGAGATAGTATGCTTACATAGTTTTCGATATCCCTAAATTAATTAATTGAAATATTATATTTTTCTTTTAAACGTGGATTTTTCTCTTGACATTGGAGCATTTTCAAAAATATTAAAATTTGACATTTTTTCTTGGATACAAGCAGACAAACCAAGGAGTATGGAATAAAAGGGAGATACAACTGACGCGGTCCGCCCTACCAAATGATTATACATGCTTTGCAGACGGTACTTCATTTGAATAAGAAATATTTGTCTGATGTACAATTACCGCGTGTATAATAACCTATTCTGAATAGTTGTGTCTCCGTTCTATTTCATTCTCCTTGAGACAAACACAGAGCCAGCCAAGCAAAGTACATATTAATCCACTGTTATGAAAATATTTTACTAGTTTTACAATTTTAGTTAAAAAAGAATATTTATTTCTATAACTAATGAAAACATGCAAATAGATATGTTGAGAACAGATTCCACAATAAATCAATTAAACTTTGTTGTTATCAATCTGCTTCTGCACAAGTCCAGTCCGAGCTATCTAAACACACGTATATATATATATAATTGGTGTCTCACAAAATATGAGAATTAAGAATTCAAGATTTTTTCAGGATTTTCAAAATTTGGTCTGCCATCAGAGATATCAAGTTAATGTAGAATATTGAAAAGTTTTCTGAATTTCTACTTTGTCGCAAAATTTAAAAGATAAAATTAAGGTAGACCAAAATTTGGGCAGTCTATGGAACCATTTATATTATTTTTTAGAAATCGGAAATCAAAACCGATTTTTAAGTCGTCTCTTTAAACCAAATGATTACTGGGACTCCTTGTGTATTTGTATTGTATCAACACAATGATAAACTAACCTAAACAATTTCAAAGTTAAACTTGCATCTCTAAATATAATGACAAGAACAAATAAACACGTAATTAAATATCAATATCTATCTATTTCTTATACTTTATATTTATCTTCTCTTCTTTTTCCCAAAAAATCTCAAACCTCCTGAGCACTTACTTTTGCTGCCTCTTTTTTGGTAGCTTTCCATGCTTGAGCCAAAAGTTTCTGCGCACATATTCTGGCTTTCATGCTTTCTAGGGATCTTCTTTTCTTACGTCCGATACCGTTCATAACATTGATTTGGTTTGCAACATTCACGTTCCCAGTCACAACTAAATTGAACAAAATATCAAAACTGAAAAAAGGGTTCTCTACAGATAGTAATTTATGAATTTGCATAGAGTTGATTTTTCATGTCGAGTGGATTCGGAGCTCTTTAAGGCTTTGGCTAGTTTAACTATATTTGTAGTGCTTCCGATGCTGAAAACTCCTGTATTAGATACCCCAAATGCCCCTCTACAGTGATAACCATATTACAAATGATTATGAAGACGACATTAGAGCAACACTAAAGTGCATTTATTGTTGTTACAGAGCAAATAGATTTGCTTGACACTTAGTAGATCACTAATTTATTGAAATTGCTGGGGATGTGCTTATTTAACTTTATAAAGTTATAACTTGATTCTTAAAGTCGTCTTCCTATTCCAGAGAATTTTCTGGTTATCACTGTATCAATGAAAGATCCCTTGAAATAACGTTTTTCAGTCTCTTTAACATTATATTTAATATTAAACCTGTGTTTACAGATTGTTGAAAGTTTATATTTTGAATGTTGTTGTTGTTGTTGTTGCTGTTAATGTTGTTGTTGATGTTTGCAACAGCATCAAAGATGGTGAAGGTCATCCCAGCAAACATGAGAGGAACCAGGTGAACAAGTTTAGACCCAGCTACAAACAAACAAATTATTTTTCCATATGTGAATTGAGTCTTTGCCACAAACTCAAATTTTCCAATTTCATATATATATATTAAAAACCTGATTGTTTAAACCTTTGATATTTCAAACTAAAGATTATTTGATCTAACAAATTCTAATTTTAAAATTTCTAAGGTCTACGATATTGGGTTACAAAAATATAGGGATAAGAATATCACTATTTTTGACAGAATCAATTCCTTTCATGACTTGAAAAGCCATATTGAAAATATGTTAAAAAAATAAAAATTATAATTTTTTTCTCACATTGTTTTTTATCTTTTTAAACCTCTCGCAATCCGTATCTCATATTTTAAACTTTTATGTCTTAACATTTTTACAGTTGAACTAGTGACATATATTGCATTACCCAATTCGAAAAGGGGGGTTTATCCCCCCCCCCTTAACCCATCATAGAAAAAAAATCCAATTTTTGTTCCACTTTTATTTCTTCAAATTCTTATAGTTTCTTTTTTCATTTTTTATAACTTGCCCAAAATTTTAACATTTCTTTTAACAAAGTTTTGTATTAAATTTTGTATTAAAATTTTATATCAAGATCTGGTTCGGAAATATTCTATTGTCTTGAATTGAATTTCGATTATTTATGAAACCACGGTGGAAACCATGGGAAAAATCACACACATGTTATAAATAAAGATGGGCACGTTTTTTCAAAAATTGGTTCGAAAAAATCCTTCGTTCAGTAAAAGACTGTCGTTTTATGAAGGGTTGATTTTATATAGTTTTCTATAGTCCTGGTTTACAATATGTATAAATAAAAATCACATATGTAATTTTTATGAAAAAAAAGTTTAAGTTTTTTTAGATTTTCACGAAGGAATTGAGTCATTGCCACAAACTCTGATTTTCTAATCCCTTTATGTTTGCAACCCAGTGTTATAGATCTTAGATATTTTCAACTTTGAATTCTGTTTCATCAAATAATCTAAGTTTGAAATATCAACCAATAGGTTGCTTTCTGTATTAACTGTATCCAAATTATAAAATAAAAAATTTTAAATAATAAATTGTAAAAAAAACACCAATAGGTTGCAAATATATAGTGAGTTTGTAGCAAAAACTCAATTTCTTTGGTAACAAATGTTTACAATTAATTGTACAGGAGATTATAAAAAGTACAATTTAAAAATAATTAAGAAATTAATTAAATTAAATTAATTTAAGAGGGAAACTACTCCATTAAATTATTTATAATTGAAGCCAAATAAAAAAGTTCAAAAAATAAAAAATTTTAAATAAGATATTTTTTTTGTCGTACCTGCAGGCTGACAATCTTTAATTCCACCACCGCCTAGAAGTACATTTTATTTAATTTCTATTTTTTGGTGTAGCATTAATAAATAAACGATATTTTTACTTTTACCAAACAAGATATTTATTCTAACATATTTTTACTTTTGAAAACTGTTATTCTTTAATGTAAGATATTATAATTTCCTTTAAACATTCGTAAATCTTTTAGTTTTTTTTTCAGTTTTTAAAAATAAAAAAAAATTTTGTAAAATTTTTATTTTTAAAAACTCTACCTAAAGGAAGATAGAGAACGGAGGGCGATTGTGGATCCGGGGAATTTCTTTTAACCCGTGTTTTTGGCGGGAAATCTGATTTCAAATCTAAAATGGCCGACTCCATCTTATTTCCGGAGGAAACATTGTCTGGTTTAATTGCTGCTGCATTGTCTTTTAGATTCTCCAATCTTTCTCTTTCAAGTGACAACCTTTGTAAACCAAATCCTACAGAATTATTTTATAAAACTGCTTTTCTAGATAAGAAAAATATAGAAATGAATGTATAGATTGTCCCACGAAACATGACAGTTAGTGAATAGTTTAAATGTGTTCTTCCATGATTCATTAAGTTCTTTGATACCAAAGGTAATTATAACAAATTTTACAAGGTCGTCATATTATAGAAAAATAAAATATATTTGTGTAAAAGACTTTTACGAAATAAAACTGCAAAAAGTCTTTAATATCTAATACAGTATAAGGAAAAACTAAGAAGACATTCAAAACTATTCACCAACTGTCATGTTCCGTGGGACATCCTGTAAGATATTTTAAAGAGGCAAACACCCACTTCCTTTCCAACCAAGGAAATAATTTTAAAACAGGCTCCATACTTAAAATTCGAAAAAAAAAATATCAAAATTTATTCAAATGTAAAAATATTTGAAAAAAAAGTTTTGAATAGGGTGAAGGAAGGATTAAAAAATGGGAAGTGAAGGGGGGGGGGAGGGTAAGACCGAAAGGGGGAATTTTATTCATAAAATTTCCTGGTTTATTGAGCAAGGCTTCTAAATCTTTAGGATGAATAAAAAACTGCCAGTACAGCTGATCATCAAGTCGTCGCCGCCTAATTATTATAAAAATCAGTTTATTTACAAACTGGAGAATTTGAACAAAAATTTGATGAATTTTCATATTTTAACCCTAAACAGGCGGGGTTCGTTTATCCTAATACTCTCATTTTTGACACTATTATTGTGAAATTTTGTGACTTTTAATGAACAGTAATTGAAAGGATTTTTTTTAAAGACTTTTTTAATGCATAGCGTTTTGTACAAGTCGGAAAAAAAGTCCGGTCTTTGGAAAAAAAATCTAAAATAGCCCATAACTTTTTTTGTGACTAAAGCTACATATCTTATAACTATATTTTTGTAAAGCCCGTGAAAAATGGATATAGACACATGTGTCACACTTTGATATTTGTTTAAAACAAAACAAAAATATTTTTTCATTTTTCTGACCCCTTTTTGGCGTTTTTTTTTCAACCCTCCCTTGCAACCAAACTATTGAAGCTATCGGTCTAATCTTTTTTTCAATGAGCTGGCATTGGCAAATTGGGCTATGCACATGCACTTCAACCCTATACCTATTCTCTAAGGCCTTTTTTCTATACATAGATTCAGACCCCCCCGCCTTTATAGGGTTACACATTTCAAACAGGTTTATCGGTAACAACTGTGGAACTGAGTAACTTCTCCAGGTTTTATTATATCACCAAAAAATGTGAACTTGTTTTTAAATAAGAACTTTCAAAGATTTAAGAGATTTTAATTGAGATTTGAATCTTGCATATTGTTAAGTACAGTTTTTTTTTCTGGAGAGCTTTCCGTAAAAAGAGTTCCAAATCCTACGGCCACAGAACCGATTTGCTGATTTATTTTTATTGGGGAATTCAGTAGAAACACAAGATTGTCCTTAGTCTGGTTTAAAAATTCTAAGTTTACCTTGATGCTTGCCCGAGGCTAATATAAAGTATCCTCTTTGATTGAATGTACGAGCATAACCACAGAACCGATTTGCTGATTTATTTTTATTGGGGAATTCAGTAGAATTGTCCTTAGTCTGGTTTAAAAATTCTAAGTTTACCTTGATGCTTGCCCGAGGCTAAGATCATGCATCACCATTGATTGAAGAGTACCAACAAAATTTTCTGGATTTGATGCAAGGTTGGCTTTTTTGTGAACCTTGGCTCTCTTTCCAAACTCTTCAAGAGCTCTTGTTTTCGGAAGTGGTTTTCCAAACTCTTCAAGAGCTCTTGTTTTCGGAAGTGGTTTTCCAAACTCTGTTCTAATTTTGTTATTTTTCAAGAACGCTTGAAACATTGGAGATTGTGGCTTAGACTGAACAATCCGAAAACAGCTAATAAATGGTTTTTTGTCAGTTAAAGTATTCTGTGAAATACTTGTTAAAAAATAATGATCTATTTTGAAGTACCTTGTTAAACTAGGGGTTAAGTACAGGTACCATAACATTAACCTAAAGTAAAATAATAAACAATTCATTTAAAATATCAGTTTTTACTAAAAAAATTTCTTTAAACGTTTTTTAAAAATGATGTACAGGGTTACCCACAAAGCATGAGAGTGTGAAGACGACTGGAAACTCTAAACACATGGTTTTCCCAAGGCTAAATTAAGCCTTTTGCCTTAAATATAGTCTTTTTCATATAGTCTTATTCAAATTTTTAAATATAGTCTTATTCAATTGTTTAGGGAATCATGAATATGATGAGAAAGACAGTGTTAATTCCGTACAGTCGTCTAAAAGGTCGCATCCTTTGTGAGTAACCCTTTACAGACTTAAAAAGTTAGCATAGGCTAAGTTAAGGGTTGAAAATCGGTCCTATTTAATATGTCTTAACTAGGATGCTAGATTTCTTTCCTTTTCAATTAAACAAATCTTTGGTGATGGTGAAAGAAAAAACAGAAATATAGAAAGAACGTGAGAGAGGGGGGTGGGGTCACCAAAAATGTCCTCTAGCCTTTTTTAGGATTGATCATAAATAAAAAATTTTTACCTGATTTCCATTGTTTACGTTGGTATTTGTAACAATATTGTTGTTACTTTGAGCGTTAATATTCAGCCTGTTGTTGTTGTTATTGTTATTGTTTAAGTTGTTGTTGATGTTGATGACAATGGATAAAATGTTGAGAGTAGTGGAGAGAAATGTCATCTGTGCAATACTGTGCAATAATAAAAATAAAAATCAATTTTTAAACAAAGCCAAACTACAGTAGACTAAGGTCAATTCAAACCAATTCGAACCGGATCAACCCCTTGTACCCGCCTTATCGAGATGAACATACCTCCTCGCCCCTATTCTATGTCAGCCCAGTTTCAACTTTAAAGACTTTTTACAGTACCTAATTTATCATATTTTTAGCATATTTTACCTTTACCCACTTTGTGTCAATCTTAATTAAAAATCTAAAACGAAAGCATGAAATTCTAAACTGTTATCTGAGCTTTTTTCAAGATTGTTTGATTAGTTGATTTATTTTCCTAACAGCAGCAGCATCTGCAGCAGTTGGGCATCTGAAAAAAAGAAAACATTTTTTTTCAAATCTAAAGGGAAAGAAAAAACAAGCAATGATTCCATCAAATATAGCATTTGGTTTTGTATTTTAGATAAGTTTTGAAAGTTCCATTCATGCTAACAAAGAATGCCAAAAAATGCTGCAAAAGTTTTCTTTGCACCTTTTATTTCCTGCTCCCCCTAAAGGAAGGTACATTGTTGCCCCGGCATCTGCGCTCTGTACATTTCTTCTATTTCTTCCTCTGTCCTCTATCTGCTTTCCCACGTGGTAATCTTCTATGTGCTTTCTGACGTGGAATCTTTCTGTTGCTGTCCTTGTTAAACGTTCTACAGAATCTCTGTCCTAATTTACAAAAATATTTTTTTTTGTCACCTATATCATTATATTGATTACATTTAAATATATTATATTTAAGCTGTATTATAACCATATTAACCAATTTCCTACTGGGGGGGGGGAGTGGGGAAACAGGGCTAATTTTGACCATTCATCTTCTGTTTTTTTATATAACTCAAAAACGAATGGCCTTTTATAATTCAAAATATTATTGAAAAACCAAACAAATTAATAGCAACCATTATATGTAAAAAAGAGGTGGGAACTCGTGTATTGTTATCTAGATTGATGCTTGATCTTATTTTTTGTTATTCCTTTGACGTGCAGAAAACAAACAGCCAATCAGAAGCCAAGGAATTTTGCGTTCAACCAATTGGAGAAGAGAGAACGTATCCAAAATCAAGAGATCAAGCAGATTCTTCGTAAAATTCAGAATTGCAATCTGTGAATGTCAAGGTCAAGCACTCGGGATTAAGGGTAATCAACATAAAAGTTCCAGCTCGATAAAATAATCCAGGATTACCTGGTGAACTAAGAGTTTAGAAGGTAGATGTAGTTCAAGAAGAACGTTCAACTCGTTCCTGACAAAAATATATCTTATTCTTCAAATACAGGAGAAAACTGTATTTCTTCAGAGTTTTTGGTCGTCATTTAAGTCTCATCATTCGTGGATAATACCTGCGAGATCGACTAAATGTTTTTAGAGAAAAAATTTTTAAAAACATAGTACCTTAAATCGATTTCAGTTGAAGCATAAATGGAAGAAAAGTTTATGATAATGAAAACAGGAAACAGCATTCTTTATCAAACATTTCTTAATGAAATTGCAAACATTACACTTTTTCTGCACATTATTTTATAAAGCATCACTTTAAACAAACATTTCTTAATGAAATTGCAAACATTACACTTTGTCTGAACATTACTTTATAAAGCATAATTTTAAGCAAACATTTCTTAATGAAATTGCAAACATTACACTTTTTCTGAACATCATTTTATAAAGCATCACTTTAAGCAAACATTTCTTAATGAAATTGCAAACATTACACTTTTTCTGAACANAACACAAGAATACAAGAACACGAGACGACAAGACAAGACAAGAATACAAGAACACGAGGACAAGACAAGACAAGAATACAAGAACACGAGAAGAGAAGACAACACAAGAATACAAGAACACGGGAGGAGAAGACAAGACAAGAATACAAAAACACGAGGACAAGACAAGACAAGAATACAAGAACACGGGACGAGAAGACAACACAAGAGTACAAGAACACAAGACGACAAGACAAGACAAGAATACAAGAACGCGAGACGAGAAGACAAGACAAGAATACAAGAACACAATACGACAAGACAAGACAAGAATACAAGAACACGATACGACAAGCCAACAAAAGAAGACAAGAACACGAGGACAAGACAAGACAAGAATACAAGAACACGGGACGACAAGACAAGACAAGAATACAAGAACGCGAGACGAGAAGACAAGACAAGAATACAAGAAAAAAGACGACAACACAACACTAGAGTACAAGAACACGAGACGACAAGAAAACACAAGAGTACAAGAACACGCGACGACAAGGCAACACAAGAGTACAAGACAACAAGAAAACACAAGGAAACAAGACAACAGGACAACAAGAAAACAGGACAACACAAGAGTAAAAGTCAACAGGACAACAAGACAACAAGAAAACACAAGAGTAAAAGTCAACAGGACAACAAGGAAACAAGAAAACACAAGAGTACAAAGTCAACAGGACAACAAGTCAACAAGACAACACAAGAGTACAAGAAATATTAAACACAAGAATCAAAGAATATTACAGAAAATATTACCAAAAACTCTAAAATAGGAAGTCGACTTTCAAACTCAATTTATGACTTTAACCCTATCACGATTGGGGGGGGAGGGCCGGGGGTGCCCCCATCTAAAAAACTTTAAAACGGCTGAAACAAAACACAAAAACAAGGTTAAAATTTAAGTATTTGAAAAGCCCTTGAAAAATGGATGTATTAACATGTGTTACAGCATTACATGTTTACACTTGCCAAAAGCAAAAATATTTATATCTGAAAATTTTTTCGACGTACTGTTTGAATTTTTTTTAAATCCTCTCTTGCACCCTAACCATTCAAGATAAAGGTATAATTTCTATCTCAACTATAAGAGCAAAATCATAATGGTAGGTGGAAAACACCCCCCCCCCCCCATCTAAATTAGACAAAAATAACCAAATCAGGACAGGGTTATATAGTTCCATGAACATGAGTCACAACAATTGTGTAAACAGACCCATTTCACATAATTAAAAGTTAAATTACTTACAAGTAAAGATATTTGCTTTGCAACAATATCAAATGCCTTACGTATTGCTTTAATGTCGTCTTCCTATTCTTAAGTTTTTCTATAAAATATTACATACAATTGAACACGAAAACAATAATATAATGTTTAAATGTGATATTTGGTTTTAGAAGTATTTTTGGATGATGAGATATATTATTATTATAATTATTTTAGATTTATTTTCACACACAAACATAAATTAGTATATTATGGTAAAGATACATAAAAAACTAAATTTTTAATAAGCTAAGTCTAATTCACAGAATATATTCATTTTCTAATTTCAAAAACACACATATATATGTAACAACCTCACTCCGAAATAAACTACAAAATCTATCCTCTCTATAATCAAGGTTTGAGTTGAACTGATCTTTATTTAAAGAAACCATGATCCACTCAGACCGGTGAGGCCGGTCAGCGCAACACAACATCAAAACATATATTTACAAAGATAAAGTTAAAATACAACATTTTCATGACATATACATGCTGTTGCAGAATTATCTATATTTAGCTTTTTTTTTAAATCAAAAACATTTTCAGGATTTTCAGGAATAAATTCATTGCAATTTAACAAGAGGATTTAGAAAACATTAAATTTAAACATTAAATATGTTATTGATAATATAGATGTGTTCTTGAGTGTTTAGATCTAAAATGTAAATTTTGAAATAACACAGTATATAATATAATATAATATATATATATATATATATTATAGGAGCGCTGCGGTATATCGGAATATATTTAGTTTAAAGTTTTTATCCTTTAGAATATCTATATTGAAATCTTTACATAATTCATTCTTTTACCTTCATACTACTTCTAATATGGGGGTAGGTATTTCAACCAATATAATAAAGACGATTTGTTAATAAAGTTTCAATTAATACCGATCTTTTTCGAATTACAAGTTTACAAGTAATAAAAGAGAAGTTTTCTTAATAGCTTCTCTTTGTTTTTTTGATAGCTTCTCTTTGTTTCCATGTTTTTGATTTTTATGTTTTTGAGTCTTCATGCTGTGTAAACGCCTGATATAAATATAAATTGAAATCGAAAGTCGTCTTCATGTTATTGATATAATCGCCCACCATTGTAATATATAACAACGCAAAAATCAAGAAACGTTAAAATTCGACGTAATTATCCAATCTCATCTCTAAAGGCGCAAAATCAAAAAGAGCAATCTCAATTAGACAAAAATAGCCTAATAGTGATAGTGTGTTAAAATTTATATTTCTTCTTCCCCCTCCTACCCCCCCTCCCTCTTTTTGATAGTTTTAATTGAAAAAATAGTATTGCAGAAAAGCCTATATTTAGAATTAAATCTGAAGTTTTAATACCTTCTGTTATGGAATATCAATATCCAGGGCTGATGGCCATTAAATGAAGTTTTACTTAAAGGGAATGTACGCGTAATTCCATGCGACCCTTCATGCAAAAATGGCAATGCCCGATTCACAATGGTACCATGAAAGTCTTTGTCTGATCAAGTATGAGTTAGATCCATTTTTATGAGTAAAAAATAAAGTTTTTTTCAATTGAGGTTAATCTACAAAGTGACTTGCGCATTTCTATTATTAGAACTATACAGTATACACGTTACAACGGCAATTTCTTCCACATTTCGGATCAGCTAAAAGTTTCAAGGGTAAAGTTCACTATAGTTTCAGTACAAGTAAATATTTCCATTTACGGATAGCGCAGATTGAAGGATTCATAACTCTGATTGGATAACACGCAAATTTGCCCCTGTAGTAAAAGTAAATTCAGCCTGTATATGAAGCATATAGCCTGACCGCGTCAACCTTGTTGCACCGGCTAGTCCTTTCCATAGAGCTAGATACAGTACAAACTGGGACCGGAAAGGCTTACACGGCTAGGAAATTCAAATGTACTACGGCTGCCCGTGAAAATGAGATAGATAGAAAGATAGCTGCTACCGCTATACTATTTCTATTGGTTTAGAATAGACAACAAACACATGACTGAACCCTGATTGGATCAGGCACTAATGGACTTGGCATACAGGAGTGCCATACTATTTATATTGGTTCAGAATAGACAACAAACACATGACTGAACCCTGATTGGATCAGGCACTAATGGACTCGGCATACAGAAGTGTGTTGTGCATCGGGCATTGGCATCGTTGAGCGGATGGCCACATATTACGCATACAGTCCCTTTTAGAGGGCCACATATTACGCATACAGTGCCTTTAACTAGAACGTTGGAGTTCTCAAAATTTTCTCTTGTTGTCTCAATCAGCTTTAAAATTCAATTATAAATTTACGAAAATTTCGCATTTTTTTTTGCGAAACAGATTAGTACGAAAGTTCACGATAAAAGCAAAAGAAATTTCAAAAATTGTCAAATTACTTGGGTTAAGTAACTGAGGTAAAACCTCTTCTAATGGATACCCTTAATCCCAATTGCTAAATATCTGCATATCCACTGTGGAAACTTTTGCTTTTCTGCTAAATCCTTACTTTTAATATCCATGTTGGAGCCGGGCCAATGAGAGTTCTCTTATGGTTTACGCGCTAAAATTTCTTGGGTTCTGATGCTATTCGTCTTCTTTAAGCGACGTATATAATTGCCACAACTCTGAAGTTTTTAATTCTGAAAACTTATGTCCTGTCTCCTTATTTCTTTTCAAATTAATAGATGTCATTTGATTTTTCAAACTTGTAATAGATCAATTAAACATAGATTGAAATATTAAAGGTTAACTCCTTCATGTTCAATGATTTAGGAATTAGAAAGTAAAAGGTTTTTTTACCGAAAAAAAAAGATGTTTACATCAGTACTTGATATATATTTAGATGAGTTAAACTACCCATCTCAATCCTTGGGCCTTGATATACTTGTGTGCTACTCAAGTACTTTACAATCTAGATATTTAAAACATAATATCTATTCCTAAAGTTTAAAATATAAATGAAAATTATGATTTGTTTTGAAATATTGTGTTTGTAGGGATGAAAGGAGTGTTATCCCCCCAAGGTAGAAGTTATGGCGAGATTTCAATTTAGATTTGAGGAAAACATAACAAATCCACAGATCCAACCACAGGGATAATAAGCAACCATTCTCTTAGATAATAGATCCACAGATCCAACCACAGGGATAATAGGCAACCATTCTCTTAGATAATAGATCCACAGATCCAACCACAGGGATAATAAGCAACCATTCTCTTAGATAATAGATCCACAGATCAAACCACAGGGATAATCAGCAACCATTCTCTTAGATAATAGATCAACAGATCAAACCACAGGGATAATAAACCATTATCTTAGATAATAAATCCACAGGGATAATAAGCAACCTTTCTCTTAGATAAAAGATCCACAATTCCAACCACAGGGATAATAAACCATTCTCTTAGAAAATAGATCCACACATAAAGATAATAAGCAATTATTTTTAATTGCTTTAACACCAAAGTATATATATCATTTACAACAATCAACTTTTGTAATTACATTCATTTCTTGGAAATTAGGATTGAAAGGTCTTATTAGTCTTAAGACTGTAGCCATCTCCCCCTCCCCCCCCCTCTTCTGTATTTTGGTCTAATAACCAATGTCGTTGGTTAGGATGAGCACTGAATAGGGTTTATCAGACTCTGATTTTCTATAGAGTCACAAATTGACACAGAATTCTTCAATAAAGGATTCATAAGGGAAAAATCTGACTTAGAAGCAACCATGCACCTCCCATCTAAATAATCTTGTAAACACTTTTTAATTTTTTAAATTTGAAATCTTTTAAGAGAAAAAAAATTTTAAAAATGATTTTCATTAAAGGTACTTAGTTTTTGCCACAAAATCAAATCTTCTAATCCCTATATCTTTGCAACCTGATTGGGTAAACCTTGGATATTTCAAACTTAAATTATTTAATCCAATGGAACTTATAGTTTAAGATATCAAAACTCTATAATGTCGGATTGCAAGGATATAGATGGGTAATAAAATCAGAGTTTGTGGCAAAAACTAATTTTCCATTGTTTGAGGTTTGTTACAAATGTTTGCATTAAATTTTGTTTTTATTTCAGTCTTTCTTTTTCCATATTACACTACTTACTGGATCCAAGAGACAAGTGATTTCAATATGGAGAGTGGGGGAACTGTATAAAATATTAATACATCACTTTACCAAATAGATTTTAACCAAGGATTCAACTAACTTGGAGACAATAAATTTATTTGTATCTTCTTACAAAAATAAAGTATGGAATGGTATTACAATAAGAAATAAATCATCATTTTTCTTTCAGCTAAGTGTGGAGAAATGTAGAGAAAAGTTGTCTCTTTAATTAGAAGTAATAAATGCATATATTTATGCAAGTAAAAAATTCATTTAAACCGCAGAAAAAGTACCTATGTAGATTTCTTGGAAATGTACAGATTTGTATTGATGGTTGCAAAGAAATACCACTAAAATATTGAATTGTTCGTATGAAAAACAGAACTTCTATAATGTCTAATAATATGTCTGCTAACTTTAAGGAAATGCTGACACAATTAAAGTGACTTCGTTTAAAAAAAACAGATGTCCTATTTACAAAGATAGCATTTAATCTATGTCTTATCATTAAATAAGTTTTTTTCTCGCTAAACTCCAAACAAATGACATAGCACATTTCCCTTTCTAGAATTCCAAAAAATCTGAACATTTTAAATATAAAGTTGTATGGTTTGTTTTTTTAATTGGAATCCTGGAAAATGTCAGCCTTACTTTGGGATCAGAGCGGTTCATGAACAAACACTGCTGTAATTTCAGGATCTTTGATATTCTTCAAACATCATATACCAATTATGTTTATTCAAAATAAATTCTCTTAACAATTAATTAAAACAAATTTTTGCAACAACCTTTGTTTATTAATCCCTATCTTTGCAAACGGTTGTTGATGAAATATCAAAGGTTTAAACCAGCAGGTTGCAACGATATAGATATTAGAAAATTTGAGTTTTGTCTAGAAATCAGTTCCTTTCCATATTAGTGTCTCTCAATTATTAGCCAGTACACCTCTCATTTGCCAAGAGGCCATTTCTCCATAATGAGCAGCAGTGTTTTTGTTCTTCTTGATTGAATATAGATTTGTATCATAGGACAAGAAGGTAGGCGGCATTAGTCCATGCTCTTCAGATCCGTACAAGCATGGTGGGATAGCAATATATCCAAGTTCATCAAACACTTCATGGGATTTACCATATACCGGGTCATGACGACATAAGAGTTCATTGGTGTCAGCATTGTACAGTTCCATAAGAGTGCAGCTAGGTGCATGACAATGTCCTGCAGCATAAGTCAAGTTTATACCCTTGAACTTTGTGGTGTCACCCCAACACAAAGGGTTTGTGCGCGTATCACATGATGACATCATATCTCGAACTGTAAAGTTTGATTTTATCTCAAAGATGCATTCTTCCTCTGGTTTTCCATCTTCACACTTTAAGATATCATATTCTCCAGCTAACGCTTCAGTCTGCCAGTAAATTCGAATCAGGTTTTGGTGAGAGGGAATGTTGGTAGATGTATCATATTCTTGGAACCAGAATCTAAACTTCATGTGATAGGACAAATCTCCTTCCGGCTGAACCTGATCCTCATCAAGAAGGACTACCTCATGATGACAGCATGCTAGTCCTCCCTGGTAGGTGTCAACAAAACATGTTGGATTTTTTTGTACAAGTAAATCACCTTTTGGTTCAGGAAGACAGTTCTTGGAAAATGGAATACCATTGATGGTTCCTTTAACCCCTTCATAGCACAGACAAGTTGGATTGTCCATGGCTTGAAGATGTATGGTTCCTCCTGATCTTGATGTAGGTCCATGATATGAATAGGAGCTTGCTGTTCCACTAGCTAACAGCAGTGGCAAAGATGAATTCTTGGGGTCAAATGTATAATGATCATTTGTCTTTCCAGCAAATGGTCTTTCTATGGTAACAGTTCTCAGTCCATCCTTGATAGAATTAGAGACAACTTTCAAACTTTGGGAAAGAACATTACCAGGGGCATGGTTCCCTAGTTTTCTCTCCTCAACATTTCCATTTCCATCTACAACAATTGTGTATGGTTGATCAGCCATTAGAAAGCTGGGTGCATTGAAGCCAACTCCAAACCAACTCTGACTTTGACCAGTTAATTCAATAGTGGCCTTGGACAGAGTGGAATCTAGTTTAAGGGAAATGGTCACCATTGCAGAATCAGACTTTAGAATTCCAGAAGTAACCATTCCTCCTCCACACTGGGTTTTAGATTGTTCTATGCTGTTGTAATACACATTCACAGTTCCATTGGCATATGTGATGGAGGAACATCCTGTTGGCAGGGAGTCTTGACTAATTTCCAAAAATTTGGCTACATTTGATAAACCTACCTTTTCAGCTGCTTCAAAACATTCTTTAGAATTATGGATTTCAGTTGCACAATGTCCAGTCACCTCTGTGGTGTATGAAACAGATATATTTTTAGGTATTCTTGTAGCACAAGGACACTCCAGGAGCCCACTGTATGAGGCATTTGGGGGTGCAGCAGAGGATGCTGGCAGAATGCCAGGACGGAAATCAGATCCATTGTAGAATCTATTCTTAGTGTCAATCTGCATTGGCTCAATTTGAAAAGAAACTGGTGATTCTATCAACTGAGCCATTCCCTTTGGGTAACCGTGATAGGATTTTCTATATTCCCCACCATTTCCCTCGGAAAATATTTGAGAAACAGGAATTCCAGATTCTGGTGTTGGATCCTCAACATCAGACCTTTTGAAAGTATGCCAAACCTTTTGTCCATATGAATGACCCATTTTATGAGCCTCCTCTGGAGTTGTAAGTCTCATTTCAGAAAGTGCTCCTTTGATGTAAGCTTCAAAATGATGATTGTACGCCCAAGTTATTGGAACTGAAACATCTCCCTTACCTGTTTTCATCACCTACAGAAAAAATATTCCCAGCAATGTGTTTTAATTATTTACAACTATTTAACAAGGAATTTTACTTTTCCAAGGGTTCTCAAGATCAATTTTACATACAAAACATCCAAAGGGTAGCAATGGATGTTTCACTGGCAAAGTTGGTTGAGGGAACCTGTGGTTAAGTAACATTTTTAAGTGGGTTGTTATTTTACTTAATTGTCCCAATGGAGGTAAAGTAAATTAACTGCCCTTTATTGGTTGGTCAAAAGGCAGTAAGACAATTCAACTTAAGTAAAACTATTCACCTGATCAGCTTCAAACCCAACGATGGCCATAACTTTTCCATCAAATCTATCCACAAGTGATTTGTCTAGAGGAACTTCATCCATCAGTGTCCAATAAACCTCTCCATACCTAGGGTTGAGCAATATTTTCTAACATTTTAGAATTTTTAAGTTAGAAGACCCCATTACAAATTAAAAAAATATTGAGAATTGCTTTGTGAAAATTTTTTTTTTCAAATAAAATTTTATACTCTGTCAGAAGGGGAAGAAAAAAATTTTAAAAATTCTGAGAATTATTTTTTAATCTTATGAACTAACTACCAAAAATCTTTAGTAAGTAGCTATACATACATACAAGCAACATATCGTCCTATTAAAATTGATTTAAAATATGCTGTTAGCTTATTTTATTAAGAATGTTTGTGTCCATTTTTCATATTTGAGATTTTTTTGAAAAATTGCACAACATTGAGAATAGTGTTGCTTAAAGTTTAGTTTGTTTCTGAATAAATAATTTCAAATTCTGACAGTGCAAGGAGAAACTGATTTCCGCGAACAAACAAAAATGTTCGCAAAAAAAAGCAAACATTTTGTTTGTATGTTGCAACTTTTTTTGTGAAAATAATTTTAGCGAAAAATGTGATTTACCCTTTTCGCAGGAAACCCTACAGGAAACCAAACAAAAATAGAAAAATGATGTGTCAATTAGGAGAATTTTAAGTTATTAGCTAAAAATAAAGTAACAAAACAAGCAAAATACCGACTTCTTAAAATCTATCTAAAAAATTTTGTTAGTTTCTCTAATTTGGTTTTGTTTAAATCCTTCTTTTATATTTGAGATTTAAAAGAAAGAAAAAATTTCATTTCTCGAAGATTGTTTTTTTTTCCAATTGAAAATTTCAAATTCTGACAGAAAAATTTGAAATTTGTGAAACTTGGGAGAATTTTGATAAACCTCTTAAACTACCAAAAATCTTGAGTCAGTAGCAATAAATTACTAATATAATCAACAAAAATTTAAGAAAAATATATTTTTAGTTTTTCTTATAAGTGGAAGAACCTACCTTGATGTAATAAGAGGAGAGTAAACATCAAAGTATTCAACATTCTCATAAGATGAGTACTCAGTAGAAAACTTATTTTTAGAATTTGGGTTTGGATTAGACAACAAGTATTCACCATTCATGTTTTCCATAACTTTAGGTCTGTTATTAATTCCAACATGTAGTGCTTGGCCGGAATCAAAGAAAGATCCCACAAATACAAATACTAGAATAAACATTTTTCCAACTGGTCAGATTTCCCAACTGCTTTGTATTTTAAACATTCTTTATCTTGTTTATTTGCTCTGTCCAGGTATTATAAGAATTTTATCTCAAAAATAAATATGTTGTTTCTTTGTAATGCAATTATATTGGATGCAGGATACTTTACTTTATCATTGTAAATCTTGAACTAAAAACTCTTCTTAGAAATTAATATGTACATTGTACAGTGTACACTCATTCTTTTAAGTAAATTGAATTCATGAAATTATTGATGAGCAAAATTTTTTAAATTGACCTGCATTACAATTTTTTAAAAAAATTTTAAAAACAGTAACAACTAACTCAGTTTAAGTGTTAAGCTTTTGAAAACGAAAAACAAAACGTCAAGACTAAACTTTTGTCAAATATTGGTTAAAAAATTCAAACTGCAACGAGGTTTAAAATTGTTATCTTTGATATGCTAGTTTTTGTTAATTTGTCTTCTGCTAAAATTAATATTATTGTTTTGAATAAAAAAATGTATGAAAAATGAAAAAATTGACAAAGACAATTTTAAGTTGTTTTTATAAAATTGCATGAAATCTGTATGGAAAATTATACATCTATGATAATTTTGGAATCTCAAGAAAAACTGATAAATTTGGGAAATGCTAGGTCTGTAATAGGGATATTGTATGACCATCATTTTAAGGGTAATCTTGTATACCAATGGAGCAAATAACTTCAAAAATCAAAACAAATTCAAACCGTTTCCCAATTGTCATGCTTTATTGGACACAGTTATATAAGTGTGTAGGTGTGTGGGGGGGGGCAGGTAGTTTAGAATCTTCTAAATAGTCCAGGATAGAAACCAAAGAGAAGATGTTTAGTGAAAATTAAATAGTTTCCACTTCGCTGACTTTTTATTCTTCACTTTAAACTTTGTATAAAGTTACTTTAATAATATTGAATCTTGTTTTCATCATACAAACTTTATTGATTTAGAGAGTTATCATATTTTGTATCCATTGTATTGATAATTGATCAGATTGTTGCTGGTTACAGTTTAAACAGTTTAAAACTAACTGTGCGCATGAAAACATAATTATGCCGCGTCACATTGTAATATTTATTCTGAGTGTAACAGTATTTACCACAGTGCAATCACAGTTAGAAAACTATGGTAAGTTCAAGGCATTCAATAGTGAGACCCACACAACTGTGAAATAGGAAGACGACTGTTAGACTCAAGTTTTGAATTTAAAGGGACTGTAAGCATAATTTAAAGTTGAAAAGTGGTTATTTCTAATTCCTGTATTATGTTCCTGGCGTTGAAATCACAAGTACTTAAGTTTGATATAGAAAACCAACATTGAAATTAATCCTTTTTTTAAATTATTAGCATGGATATTTAATTGATAATTTAGTAGACAAATTGCATCCAAAGATTCTGTTGTAAATCGGACCCTTTAAATAGGCGTGAAACATGAATCGGACCCTTTAAATAGGCGTGAAACATGAATCACAGCAATTGTGCAATGGACATATATGGAACCTCAAGTTTTGTGAAATTTGAAACGCTTTTTTTAAGGAAAACTTATCATAGTTATTTTGCTTAATTTCTTTTAAAAAATTTTTTTTAGTGATTGTTAGATCCCAAAGCCTGTGTATTCCGCCATATCAGGTATTATAACACGACTTTAGCATTCATTTGAAGGACTATGGCTGGGTATTTTTTAGGGGAAAGGGGAGGGGAAGGGGAGTGTTTACGATCATAGGGAGAAAATTTAAAAACAAATCATTGTTTAGAATGTTGTTTTAAGTCGTAAGGACCTGTAGATTCAATTTCATTTAAAAAAGAATACTTGAAAATTAAAATACAAAGTAAATGAAATATCTGTTTTTGTCTTACAGGTCTTTGTCCAAATTATATCAACCAATTTTTTTTTAGAATTATTTGTAGACTTTTTTACAAATCGTTTTGGTTAGTATCTTTGGTCAGATTGAGAATGCTGAATATGATAGGATTTGTTTTACATATTATTATGAAAAGCGTAATTTCAAGTAACTCAAAGATGACATGGTCCGATTCAAAAAGATACCTTGAAAGGGAGTGTTTGCAAAAAATGAAAGAGGTTATAGGTAGGGCTGGGCAAAGTTCCGTTAACGGAACAAAGGTTTTCGAAAATTAACGGAAGTGCCTGATAACAAACGGCAAAAACCATTAATTTTTAAAATGTTAACGGCACGGATTAGCTGTTTTTGAAAGAAAAAAATTAACAGTTGAAAACGAAAACAGAACGGACTTTTACAAAAAAGACAGTGAATTTTGTTAATTTTTTTAAGTTTTGAATGTCGTCTTCTGCTTTTAAAATCTGGGTTCTCCTCGGAATTAGATAATTATAGTTGATTATGATATCAGACCGCAGAGAAGGATAACTTTAGTTTAACTGCTAGTGCCCTTAATACTAAAAATAACATTAACGGCTGCGCCCATAACGATTTCATGAAACGTTAATGAATGAAGTTACACTGATATTGCCGTTAATTATAAATTATACCATTAACAGCTGTGCTGTTAATGATTTATTTAACGTTAACAAATTTGTTTGGTGCTTTGCGCAGTTAGCAATTTATTTCACTGTTAACGAACTTTTTTCGGAACTTAGTGCCGTTAAGGATTTTATAAAAGTTTATATTGTAAAGGACCGTTAAGGATTTTATAAAAGTTTATATTGTAAAGGACCGTTAACAGTTGCACCATTAACAATTTCTTTAATTGTTAACAAAAAAGTTTAAGCGCTTCGTGCCGCTAATGCTTCCATAATATGTTAATATTGTAACAGGCCGTTAATGGCTGCACAATATCTTAAACCGTTAACAACTATGCCATTAAGGGTTGTTGAAAATTTTCTGTTAACGCCATTAATAAAATTTAAAATGTTAACTAACGGTAATTTAAAAAACGGTAAATACCATTAAGATTAAATACCGTTCTTTACTTTAAGATTAATGGCTACTTGAAATTTTACTTTTTTAACGGTTGGAGCTAACTATTACCAGAATGGATGGTAAAAGTGGGAACGTGCCCAGCCCTAGTTATAGGTTGATGTCAAATTAAATTTGATATGGATCGTTTCTAATTTTTCCTCCAGCTGTTGCATCTATTAGGAGAAAATGGTTAAAAACGACTCATACCGAAAAGCGTAGAACCGATATAAATTCAAAGTGTGGCATTATTCAACTCAGATCGTTGTGAATAGACCATTGTCATCTTTGTATAAAGTGTTACTTAAAATTATTAAAACCATTCTAGAAAGTTGGGAAACAGTGTTTATTTTTCTCAAGACCTCATTCTCCTTGGGGTTTATCTGATACTTGGCACCAGGTATATAATTACTCCAATAGTGCTTTATGCATGTAACAATCCAGATTCAACTCTCTCTGTATGCTTAAGTATGTATCAATCCAGATACAACTCTCTCAAACTCTATACTCTCTTCTCTATATTCTATACGTCCAACCCTAATAAAACAGAGTTCATATCCAACTAACTATATTTGAGTATGAGGTACAGATAAAGATTAAACTGACCTATAATTGGTCAGGTGATTGTAACGTAATATATTTACAGGTAGGTTCAGGTTTGATATAGGTTATTACTATATGTACTACATGCTATTCTTTATTAAACCTGGGGTTTATCAGATACTTGGCACCAGGTATATAATATTCTTTATTTCCCCTGGGTTTATCAGATACATGGCACCAGGTATATAATATTCTTTATTTCCCCGGGGTTTATTAGATACAAGGGCATTTAATGAATTAGAACCACGTCGCTGAACCGCCAATCACAGATTCAAATGGCGTGCCGCGCTGGCTCAAAGTTCAAAACACTGCATGATTAAATTTCAAGTTATGCCAACCATTTCAAAATCGCTTAATTTCAGCGTCCGTTATAAAAATATTCTATATCGTTGTACCAGAGATTAACATTAAACAACAACTCTTAAAACTCGCAATGACTTAGGATTTCATTAATCCTTGATAACTCATTTGTACTTTTGTTAAACCTTGATATCTCATTTGTACTTTTGTTAAACCTTGATAACTCATTTGTACTTTTGTTAAACCTTGATAACTCATTTGTACTTTTGTTAAACCTTGATAACTAATTTGTACCTCATGTTAAACCTTGATAACTCATTTGTACCTCATGTTAAACCTTGATATCTCATTTGTACTTTTTTTAAACCTTGATATCTTATTTGTACTTTTGTTAAACCTTGATATCTTATTTGTACTTTTCTAATACCTTGATATCTTATTTGTACTTTTGTTAAACCTTGATATCTTAATTGTACTTTTGTTAAACCTTGATATCTTATTTGTACTTTTGTAAAACCTTGATATCTCAGCTGTACTTTTGTTAAACCTTGATATCTCAGCTGTACTTTTGATCTGATATTTAATGCATGACAAAGAAAGTATGAGAACGAGACTTTACGTCTGACACGAGCTTTTCATACAGTGGTCTACCTTTCTTGTGTATTAAAAATTGACGTAAATATTATATATAAAGATAATTTTGATTTTAGCATAAAATGACATATTTGTATAAACCTTCCAATACCTCTGTCAAAAATGGTAGACCACATTTCGAAAATCTCAAGTCCAGGCGCTTTTAATATTAGATTTTTCCACTTGAATACTTCAATAATTGTTTTTATATGTATCTAGGCATATAAGAGTGTATATGATGCAGCTGTATTCTGTATGGCACATGACGGTCAACTAGCAGAACAAGTTCAAGATTTTAAAAGTGCTTTAGACCTTTGCGCTACTGTCAGAGGTAAGAAATCATTCTGAACCAGACAGAAGGAGAAAATCAAACTAATAATGCGACATGGCTGCTATAACTTTTTGGCATCGTACAAGGTGTCCCACGAAACATGACAGTTGATGAACAGTTTAGAATGTCGTCTTCCAAATACTGGTTTAGATTTAAAGACTTTTTGCAGTTTAGTTCGGTAGAAAAATCTTTTACTCTAATATATCTTAATCTGGGATCGATTTTACTATAATAAAACTGCCACTTAATGTTTATTATTATTTTCTTTGGTATCAAACAACTAAACAAATTATGGAAGAAGACATTTTAAAATATTCAGCAACTGTCATGTTTCGTGGGACACCCTGTAGCTCCCCTTGGTTTATTTTAATGCACAGGGATAAAACTAAGCAAGTTTATTTGGTTACATAATAGAAATTCAGACCCTTTCTTTGTTCTTTAATAGCTCTACAGTAAAAGAAGTTATGATAGATTTAAGATTTTCATCAAACTGATAAATTTACCTTAGAGTTTAGTTTTACGATATTCTTCTAAAACTTCAAATATGATAAAGAATAAGTAAAATATAAAAATATAAATCATTTAAAATGCTAACCAACAGGAAACGCACACAAAAATAAATCATTATAAGAACGGAGGAATTTTCTTTACTCTTTTTCACTTTTATAAAACATTGTTCAAGATTTCCTATTGTATTGTTATTTCAAAGTTCCGCAATCAGGGTTTGTAATCGGAATTCCGTTATGCGGAATTGCACGCAATAATTTCTTCCTCTTGCGCTATTCCATTGCGCAGAATTGCGCTTTAATTGCAAACAAGGACGCAATTAAATAATCGCGGAGTTGCGCGGGATTAAGTTTCCATTTAAAAAATTAATATATCTAACTGTGACTCACAAATTTGTGCAGCAGATACAAGAATGGAAAAATCTCTGTAGATTATAAACTAATCGAGGTCCGAGGGTCACTTGTTTCAATAGTTTTCAAATTTTAAAGTTTCTAGTTGTTAAGCTACTTATTTACACTGAATAAACATTAAAATCTAATTCCCAGGAACCCCCCCCCCCCCTCTTTGGAATAGGGTTGATTTGAACTAATCAATTAACCCATGTTTCAGTTTTCGTGACTCTTACATTTACATTGCATTTTAAACACATATTTTGTTCTCCAGGAGGATGTGCTCCCAGCCTGGTGGCTCGGCGTGGACATTGTTTTCAATGGAATCCGCTAGATGGTTCTGAGATCGAGATTCCATGTAATCACCCTGATCTGAAAGCAAGATTTATATGTCAGCAAAACTAAGCAATTAATTTTAAATTATAAACTGTGATGATTTACCGGAGCTTGATGTTATAACTACCTTTATCGTACACCCACCCCCTCCCTCACCCCTCAGTCCCCTCCCCATCCCTTATCCTACCCCTCCACCCACAGCCTGAGCACTATGAATAAGGTTTTTTGGGCTCTTCGGTTGCACCTGAAAAGTCGATGAGGCATATTTTCAAATTGTAATTTCTAAAATGTTTTTTTTGCTTCATGCAAAACGTTGATTCATGTGCAAAAGATATCCATGAAAAAAAAATCATTCTTTTGCATAGTGTAAACAAAATAAAAGAGAGTTTTGAAAAACTCTTGAAATTTAAAAACAAGAAAACTTTAAATTTTCAAGAAACGGATAAAAACAGTGATAGACACAAATCAAATATTTTTGAATTTAAATTGATTATTATGATGACCAAAATTATATCTAATTTTATCCTTGACGACTTTTTAAGATTTTTCAAATATTTTAAAATTAAAATTACAAAAATTATCAATTTTCCAATGCAATTTCTTTATGCTGAGTTTTCCAACTGATGACTTCAATGATATAATTTTTTCCCGTGTCCTTTTTCAAAAATGATCAGAATTTTTACTTAACATAAATTGTTGTCTAATCTAAATACACATGACTAATGTGTTTTTGAGACTTTATATGTGTTCTGAAGACTTTAAATGTGTTCCGTAGACTTTATATGTGTTCTTAAGTGTTTAGAATTAGATGTGTTCTTTAGTATTTAAATGTGTTCTTAAGTGTTTTCGATGTTAGTAAACAATTAATACAAACAAAAAACCCTATCAAGGTTATTAGAGCAAAAAATTAGCATTGTGTATAGTGTGGTTAGCTTTGTTTCGTTTGTTCATAAAATGATTTCCTTGTTTAACATTGTTTAAACAGGCTTTCTAGTATTTTTTTTACGGTGGTAGGTACTAGGTGATTATATAAATATAATGAAGAAGGCTTTTTTACTTCTGTTTTCTTTTTTAACAATTTTTTTTTCAAATTACAAGTTTACTACAGTGAAACCCTTAATAACGAATACATCGAAAGATATCAACAAATGTCGTATTCTTCACTTTCTGATAATGGAATGTTGCAGATATTCAGTTTTTTAATTAAATGATTATATGGAACTCTTTAAAACTGTTCCCGCATATTCATGGCTATTTATTTATTTTCGCAAATACTGAAATTTACGTAATATAGTATAAAACTCATTAAAAAATTGTCAAGACGACATTTGATCAATTCTTCCGATGTATTCGTTATTAAGGTTTTCACTGTAGTAATTAAAGAAAAGCTTTTTTAGTGGACAGCTTCTCTTTGTTTCCATGTTTTTGTGTATCGATGCTGTTCATAAGCTTGATGTTATTCAATATTTAAATCGAAAGTCGTCTTCATTATATTGATATAATCGCCTACCACGCCCACCACCTTAGAAAATAATAAAAATGTATTCAAATTATTAAAAAAATGAATTTGATTGTTAAATATATGATATATTGTGTTAGTTAAAAAGTACAGTGAGACCTATTAAGGTAGAAAGACGACGGGCAGACTCAAATTATGATTTTTATAGTTCAATGAAAATATAATGAAGCAATTGTGCAGTGAACACAGTCTCATTTCACTCAATTAGTTGAGTTAAGCTATTAATAAAACTATTTGGATTTAAAACGTTTAGCGTGCCAAAATTCTTTTAAAACGATATAAATGTAATATTTTCCTATATGTAAAATCTCAAATAGTTCAATTTGTCATTGAAAATTGATTTACATATTTTGAACATTTTTAGGCATTAAGTTGGTTCTGGTCCTCCCTGTATTTTTTCTTTTTTGAAAGACAAAATTATTGAAAACCATAGAGAATAGAATATATATTAGAGGGGAATTTACTAGAAAAAAGTGTAAAACGGCCATTTTGTTATACTGTTTCCATACTGCAGGTGTACTTCACATATTTATGCTATATAACCTTTTGGGCCCTGGAATATCATTTTATAGAAAATCTAAAATTATTGTTAGAAGAAAACAAAATTATGAAATAGGCTGGTTTCATAATTGACCAATGATCATTTCACATAGACTCTATGCCTTTCGCTTTACAGCGATGATTTTCCGTTATAACTATAAATCAAATGATGTTTTTATTCACCTAATTCATTATAAATTTTATTTAACAGTTAAAAAAATTCGAAATTGAAATTAATAGTCTAAGGAACATACTGTATTAATGTACTCTACTACATATAATTTGTGAACATTTACATGATTTGTACACTTTGAACTCCCTTTCAGGCTGAAAGGGACTGAAAAAATTCATACCGAGAGATTCTTTAAATTCCCCTCTAATATATATTCTATTCTCTATTCCTTTGTCATATATGTTTGAACTAAATAATTTGTAGCCCAAGGTTTTTTTACCATTTTCTTTGTATTCTTGTGGTGTATAAATTCTACCATAGAATTAGAAGTTTTGTCAATACTTTGAAAACAGCTGATGGGTAATCATATACACAACTATCCGTGTATATTATTACAGTATAGTACAGTGTATTGTACTAGTACAATGTATACTGTATATAATACAGTGCACATAGTCCAGAGTATATAGTACAGAGTATAAAGTACACTGTATAGTACAGTGCATATATAGTACGGCGTATAGTATAGTGTATATAGTACAATGTATAGTACATTGTATAGTATAGTGTATAGTGCAATCTATACAGTACAGTTTATGTAGTGCAGTGTATAGTACAGTATAAAGTAGAGTGAATAGTACAGCGTATAGTACAGTGTTTATAGTACAGGAAATGTAGCAGTGTAGTAATAGGTATATTACAATGAATATAGTACAGACACAGTGTATACAGCAAAATGTATATTACAGTGAATATAGTACAGTGTATATAGTATAGTGTATATAGTATAGTGTATATAGTATAGTGCATATAGTACAAGATACAATGCAGTGTATATAGTACAGGATACATAGCAGTGTATATAGTAAACGGTATATTACAGTGAATAAAGTACAGTATTTATAGTACAGTGTGCATATTGTAGTGCAAATTTAGTACAGTGTATAGTAGAGTATAAATTTGGAAAGTATATAGTACAATGTATATAGTATAGTGCATATAGTACAGTGTATAATCTTGTTTATGTAGTGCAGTTTACAGTACAGTGTATATATGACAGTATTTAGTATACAATGCATGTACAATACAGGGAATAGTACAGTGGTCAGTGAATTGTACAGTGAATAGTACAGTATATATAGTACAGGGAACAGTGTACTAATATAGAATGGGCGAAGCGTAACTAACGAGGGATTATCGATTTTTCCAATTAAAAAAAAATCAAAAATAAACGAACGCAGAAAGAATTGGTCTTTAAAAAACTTGAGCCCTCATAAATAAACGAAAGCGTGAACAGAGTTATATTAAAGTGATTATGGTACAGATTTGCTACAGTGCAGGGTGTTCCACGAAACAGCATGACATGTTAATGAATAGTTTTTAATCTGATCTTCTCCATTTTCCACATCAGATGTTAAAGTCTATTTGCCAAGGTTCTTTAATAGTGGTTGGTTACTCTAGATTCGCTCCAATGTACGGAAAATGCTGTCTCCTTAGCAATGATAGATAGAATCCTCATATGACGTCACGCTCGCCTTTTTTATCAGTATCGTCATATGAGAATTCTTTCTAGCAGATGACATTTTTCCGAAAATTGGAGCGCATCGACAATAACCAACCATGCTTGTAGTCGTTTTATTTTTAAAATATCTTTAACTCAAATATATTTTACTTTGAAATCATTTTTACTATAATAAAACTGTCACGTGATATTTTTAATTATTTTATTCTATATCAAGAAGCACTTTAAAATTATGGAAGAGGGCATTTTAAACTATTGGCCACTCTGTTATGTTTCGTGGGACACCCTGCAGTTTATGTATTTCACCCTTACGTATAGGATAATACACGGTGTAAATGGACTTTACTCTGTAGACAGTATATTTTGAAGAAAATGAGTTTAAATGAAGCAGATTTTTCTCAATATCTGGAAGAAAATTCACCGATTCCACCTGATGTCGTCTTCCTTGTCCAGGTAAAATTTAGAGTAAATAATTTTAGATTAAATAAACCTAAGAATGTCTCAGACTCGTTAATCGTGTTAAAATGCTACAGTGATAATCAGAAATCTCTGGAAAATGAAGTCGACTTTTAAACTCAAGTTATGACTTTAGATAGTCCAATGAACATGCAGATACACAGCACTTGTGTAATGCAAACAGACCCATTTTATTTAATACGTGAGTTAACAACTTACTTTGTAACATCATCAAATGCACTTTAGTATTGCTTTAATGTTGTCTTTATGTTCTACAATTTTATGGTTATCATTGTATTTTATTAAGATTATCTTATAGGGAAACTAATATCATTCTATAGTATGCCGAGTACATTAGATCCTGATCCAATCAGTATTCAGCCATGTTTTTGGTGTCTATTCTGAACCAATAGAAATTGCATGGCGGTAACATCTGTCCTTCTATCTAGCGCATCATCCAATTAGAGAAAAATGCTCATCTCTAACAGTAAATGGAAATATTTACTTCTACTGCAAGGTTGTAATGCAAGGAAAGTTAAATGCAGTTGTGTACTGTATACTCTGCGTACATATTGAATCAGTTCTATCTGGGCGGAATTTGTAAACAAGAATAGATGCATCAGTTTTCGTTTAGTATCCGAGGAGGTTAAAAGCATTAAATTTTGATCATTTTGATAATTCACATAATAGTTTCATATGACTAGAATATTTCATTGATTTTTTATGTGAAAGATGGATCCCATGTCAGGCTTTCACATCCGTCTTGTGTTTACATTACCGCCCAGAGACAGTACACTACAGTACAAAGGATGCTTACACCTCTGAAATAACTTTCCTTGCATTATAACCTTGCTTCTACTAAAACTATTGTGGTATAAAACCATTTTAAGGATGATGAGAAAGGAATTATCGCAGAGTACAAAGCGCACAGGTACATTGGTATAACAATTGATAACAGGCTTTAAATATCTTTTTTTTTTGAGAATACAAGGTCATAAGAAGTTTATTAGATTTGCTTGTTACGCCTTTAAATATATAAAACATTCATTAACAAAGTTTTGAAATATAGTTTACGTGTATTTAAATTTAGTAACTTACAATTAAACTTTTTATCGTAAGAAATTGTAAAAGAGTTTTTTTGTTATATAAAGAACTTTATTCAGCTTTAATTATATTTTTACCAAAAAAAAATGTAAGACCTTTTTGCACTTGTGAAAAAAGAGATAAATAAATTTTTCAGGCAGTTTCTGTCAGTTGTGAGTCCTGTTTTCCAGAAAACCTTCTTTGGATCTTTTGGTGAGAATTTCAAGAGTAACTTTAAAAATGGTATTTTACTCTATAGAATAAAAATCTACCATAAAACGATGAAGTTAGTATTCTTTAAATTATAAAAGTTTTTGGACGGATTCCATGAGATCTAGGAGAACTTACAAAGGAGCTGGGTTTTTGCCACAAACTAAAATTTTCTAATCTCTTTATCTTTGCAACCTGATGGTTTAAATCTTTGATAGTTCAGTTGTCAGCTAGCACTACACCTCAAACCTACCTATTTTTCAAGCACAGCATTTGGAATTGAATTCTTAGTAGACAAATGTTGTCGGCTCCATAATTTAATGTAAAAAAAATTGTACAGTTTAAAGTTTTGAAAATATTAGGATAATTTGGAGTTTTGTAAATAATAGGATAATTTGGAGTTTTGTAAATATTATAAAGGGTAGAGATGGGCGTCGTTTTCGTCAACGAACAACACATTTAAAAGCGAACAAAATTGATCATGAACGATTGTGTTGTTCAAAAAAATAAAAATAAAAACGACTGAGAGAAGATCGTAGAAGATCGTTCAGACACACTTTTGAAGAACAAAAACCATTAAATTTTTTTCTAAATGAATGATTTTTTCAAGCAAACTTTAAAAAAAGATGTTATTGAAGAACAATCTCACTGTAATGTATTTAGGAGTCCCGGAAAACCCGATGGCGATAAAAGATACTTTCCCCGCATCGTTCTCTCTTCTCTTAGACTATATTTACAAAGGAGAATCAGATTTTCAACTCTTTAATCAGGTTTACTTGAGTTTATTTTGGTCTTCTGTATCAGACCCTCCATTAAAAGTGAGCTGCGCATTTCTACTCCAGAAAAAGATAGAATTGATTATAATTAAGCACTTTAAACCAAGAAAAAAAGACAAACTCTTCCGCATTACTACCGTTTTTAATCGGACTTTTCCATATTGGCATGGATTATGTTCACAGTCCCTTTAAATTGGGTGTGCAAATCAAATGTGCAAAGAATAAGACTAATATGGCGATCTGAGTCTCTTAAAACAAGCTACAGGGTGTCCCATATATTATATATTATATACAGGGTGTCTCAATAAACATGAAAATTAAATGACGACTTTTATTTCGTCCTAGTTCCATTCCGAATTATTTCGTAAACATAGTTTTGTAGTATCAATTAAAACATTTAACACCGAAAACTAATAGTTTCCGGATTTCCACAGTGTGATCTGCCAAATTTTATCTTCAAAATTGACGAAAATATTACGATATTTGTCCAGAATCATGTTTTATAAAAATCAAAAAAACACATATTCATTTAACAATCATCGGATATTAAAAAAGTTTGGAACAATCTTGGCAATTCCTTTAAATCCTATAATTCTTGAAATTCCATGAGGCTCTAAAATATTAAAATCACCGCTGTTTAGACTCAAATAATTATTATTACCAATGTTTAGACTCGAATAGTTATTATTACCGATGTTTAGACTCAAATAATTATTATTACCGATGTTTAGACTCGAATAGTTATTATTACTGATGTTTAGACTCAAATAATTATTATTACCGATGTTTAGACTCGATAGTTATTATTACTGATGTTTAGACTCAAATAATTATTATTACCGATGTTTAGACTCGATAATGAGAGTGCATTATTTAAGAGAAAATGTGTTCTATTCTATAATTGTTATAAAAGATCGAAAATTTGCTCTTTAAAAATTACGAGTAGGACTTAATATGAATGCTTGCTCTCAAGATTCCATTTTATCTAATTATTTGATAACCTGCACTCTTCTAGAACTATTTTATTAAGAAATAATGGACAAATCAATAGTGTCAAAAGTAAATAGAAATCAATAGTAAAATCTATTTGTCTTTTATCGTCATTATCTTAAATTCTTTATTCTTTAAATATATTTGTTAATAATAAATAAAAGATTATAATTTCCCCATGTTTTCGTAGATTATGTGAAACAGCTTTAACAAGAGGGGTTCACGTTACCTCAGATAATATGTACAGTGTTGCCAGGTAGAAAATATGTACAGTGTTGCCAGGTAGAAAATGGAAATAAATGCGGGGTGAGTAAAAAAAACGCGATTATCGATGGTTTGGACTATAGTATAAATGTGATAAAAAAAATTCAAAAATATCTTTTTAGAACGTTAGAAATATCCTAAAAATAAAATTCTTTTGAAAAAATTTAAAAATATTTGAAAAATTGTTGGTAAAACGTTTATTCTATTGTTTTCCAAAATTTCCAAAATGTCTGAGTTTAGATATTAGAAAGTTTAGATATTCAAATCTAGGTAGGGTTTCCATTCGCAAAACTTTTGCGTAATTTTTGCGGAACGAAACGCAAAATTTTTCTTTCTTTGTGAATCAGACCCCTAGTCAGGTAAATTCAGCTGTTGAGCCTAGCAGATAGATATATAATAGAACCCCTAGTCAGGTAAATTCAGCTGTTGAGCCTAGCAGATAGATATATAAGAGAACCCTTGGTCAGGTAAATAATAACAAAAAAAAATGTTGGTGCATTTTTACTGTATGTCCAGAAAATTAATCACAGATATTTTTTTTGAGATTTTATCTTTTGGTGTTTGGCGAATCTCAGAATTCTCGTATTTGAGAATTAGAGTGAGTTGAAAAATTATTACAACCCCCATAAAGGGAGTGCCTGGTTCGCCTGGTAGTTGAACTGAGAGTGCATTATTTAAGAGAAAATGTGTTCTATTCTATAATTGTTATAAAAGATCGAAAATTTGCTCTTTAAANGCAAAACTCATTGCGTTTCATGCGCGAAAATAGCGCAAATTTTGCGCAAAAGATTTAGCCATTTCGTGGAAACCCTAAATCTAGGTTCCCAAGCTAACATTCAACGACATCATTATAATCTCATCTTGAAAATGTACAGTTTCAAAAAAAAAGAAGACTTCAACCATAGATAAAGATAGATTGCGCATAAGACGACATTTTTCATCTTGAAAGAAAAAAATGTACAGAGATGTTTTAAAGATATTCCTATTATATAGATTATCTAGGTCGGTTGTGAACATTGGCTGTTCTTATGTCATTGAGTACTTGTGGTGTACATGAGTTCTGTAGAGAGAAATTTAAGTTAGTTTAGTCCTTCTCATGTTCTTCTTCAGTTCTCGTCAATATGATGTATTGTATTGCTCAGTGAAATATTGTTGTTCAAATAGTTAAATTAAAACACCAAACCACCCCGCTTATCATTGAAGTACACTTTAACCCTTAGAAATATGACTTCGCGGACTGTACGATTCTTGGTGATTTTGCGTACATAAGCTATCTATGTTTATTTATTTATCTATGACTTCAACATTTAAAATTCGGTGATGGTGATGGACCAAACCTCTGTAGAGTAAAAGTAAATGTCAGTTCCACATTTATTGAAAATATATTTCGGTCTGGGTTGACCCTTGTCAGTTCTTAGGATTGCTTCTTTCCCAAAGATTTTAGGAAAAGTTATGATAATTAGTATTCCCAGATACAAGTTTGAGTATTTACACAATACAAACAAAAAGTGAACTGCACGAACACGACCGATATAGTCGAGCTCAATTTTTTTATAATTGAAGTGAAAAATATTGCATCTGACCTTTATATAGTAAATCTTCCATTGAAAACAGAAACATTTTTACAAATGTTGAATTATATTTTTCTGACGAGCATTAAGGAAAAATATTCTGAAGTAAATCAAAGAAAATTAAGAAAAAGAAAGTCAGGAAAAGTCCAACAAATAGTATAACTTTAAAAAATCAAACACTAAAAAGTGTTAGTTGTAAAGGAATTGAATATTTGCCACAAACTCAAATTTTCTAATGCCTGTATCTTTTTAACCTGATTGTGTAATTATTTGATATCTTAAACTTAGAATATTTGATCTAACAGAATTCATAGTTTGAAACCTCTAAGGCAAAGACTCAAATTCTTTGTTTAAGGTATGGTAAGGAATTTGCCTGTTTTTCTTCTGTCTCCAATGCTCTACTGTCAAAATGCGCAAAATTTCTCAAATATGAAGTTTCAAGGAATTACAGAATTCTCTCAGAATTTCAAAAAGATGATTTTGAACTGTTTCAGGTATTATAATAAGAAATTCTAAAGGGAGTCTTCGCGAAAAATGAAAGGGGTATAGGCGAAAAATAATCGTTTTTGGTCGCTACTAATCTTACTTCTATCTGTTGGGTCTATAAGGAGAAAATTGTTAAAAACGACTTGTACCAAATAACGTCCGTAAAATTGAGAAAGTTGCAACATACGACTGGGATCGTAAAAGAACAATTTAATATGAAACATTTAGATATTAAAACCCATAGTCATCGATTATACAGTTCATATTTCATAATATTTTTTATTTGTTTTATATTCAATATAATCAAAGCTATTTTAAAATAATGTTAAAAATCTCTTTTAATAATCACACTGTCGATGAAGGTTTAAGAAAAACTCTATAAAAAAGGTGCATACCCACCCCGGACTAACCAGAGTGAGCAGCATTCGGTTTCTTCTATTTGAAATTAAACGTGTTTTGGTCTTTAATTCAATAATCATTTACTTTACGGATTTGTTTATTTTATACATTTTCATTCAAAATGCATATGCCAACAAAAAAGTATAAAAGAAAAAAGGCTTACAAATTATGTTTAATGGGTCTAAGTGTGATCGAAAGTCACAGCTTTCTAGAATATTGACAGGACCGTTAAATCCACGTGTACCTAATTCACAAAGATATTATTCAAACCTTTCATGAGTATCTTTGTGATTCTGGCATCCCTTCAAATGAAATTACCTCAATTACCATGTCCCTTTAAAGATGTTGGTTGGTTAGGGAAGGATAAAGAGCTTGCAAAATATACAGTGAAACCCTTAATAACAAATACATCGGAAGAATTTATCAAATGTCGTTTGACAATTTTTTAATGAGTTTTATACTATATTACGTAAATTTCAGTATTTGCGAAAATAAATAAATTGCCATGAATATGCGGGAACAGTTTTAAAGAGTTCCATATAATCATTTAATTAAAAAACTAAATATCTGCAATATTCTATTATCAGAAAGTGAAGAATACGACATTTGATAAATTCTTTCGATGTATTCGTTTTTTAGGGTTTCACTGTAGGTTTTGAAGAGAAATAAGAAAAAGTCCGTCATCCTTAATCAGTTAAAGATGTAAAGGGTAAGATTGTGAATCGAGGATTATAATGGTAGGTCTAGCTTGAAATTATGCTTAGTCCCTTTAAATTAAATTACGTTAACTGTCCCTTTAAGATGTTGGTTGGTTGGGGAAGTGGAGAAGGTTCCCTTGAAGAAGAGGATTCCAAGGAATTACAAGATGATGATTTCTGGGGTTGGGGAGGTGTTTTTCCTCTAGGTAATATAATCTATATACAGGGTGTCCCACGAAACATGACAGTTGGTGAATAGTTTTTTATACAGGGTGTCCTACGAAACATGACAGTTGGTAAATAGTTTTGAATGTCTTCTTGTCTTTTTCCACATACTGCATATCAGATATTAAATACTTTTTCCATTTTTTTTTTTTAATGTTTAATTCATTTATATCTTACTGTTAAATCAATTTTAATATAGTATAACTGTCATATAAAAAAAGTTATTAGTATCTTTATAGTATCAAACAATTTATCAAATTTGTTTGTGTGTATATGTCCCCCATCATAACGCATAAGCCCCTCGACCGATTTGCCTCAAATTTTGATTGGGGAAAAAAGGCTAATCGTAATTTACGACCAAGTGCGGGTTAACGGTGGGAGTAACTATGAGAACCCATCTCAAGCTAGTCTAAAAAAAATGATATCTGTTGACTGAAAAATATTATTTCTGTATTATATCTGAGATCGGCTATTTTTTTCAAGATTGGGCTATTTATTTTTTGTTTTTAGATTGTTCTACAGTAATATATTGATATTTGTCTTGCAATGTAGCTTCAAAAGAATTAAGTGTTTTCCACAAATTAAATTATCTAATTCCTATATCTTTGCAACCTATTGGTATGTATACACTTTACATATTTCAACATTAGATTATTTGAGCTAACAATATTCTTAGTTTGAAATATCTAAGGTCCACGAGTCCACGGCATAGGGTTGCAAAATAAATAGGAAAACAGAGATCTAGAAAAATAACACATTAATATTTTTATTCTCATGATTAAATCATTTTAGGTTAGGATAGGTTAAGTTAGATAGATAGATAGTCACTCGAGAAAGTCGTCATCATGTTTTAGAAAAGAACACCTCAAAGTTAAAAAAATCTTATTTTTAGAAGAATTACCGCAAGAAGATGACAGAGTTCAGGAAATTGTTTGTTGTTTTTTCTTCAGAAAATCTATTTAATAAATTGCCCTTTGCCCATATCATATTTTATATATTTGTATATTTAAATGTTAGCTGTAGTTGGCCAAACGGCTAGACCAAATTGGCTGAATTTTTTTTGAGGGAACCCATGGATATACTGGGGGAAACAAAGGCTAAAAAAATTCGATTTTTTATCAATTTTTTTTCTTAAGAAATCAAATTATTTGTTTTGAAAAAAATAATGAAAAACTAAAGGATCTACCAATGACCTCGTCAGCCAGACAAAAGGTAAAAAATAAGCAAGCTATTTTTCTTAAAGGAACATCAAACGTAATTTCAAGTGACCCTTTATTTAAAGAAGGACAACGCTGTTTCACAAAGGTCCTCTGGAAACCTCTATATCTGATCAATATTATCATTTGTCTAGCTTAAACGTGACTGATGTGACTGATTATGTTTATTTCTCCAAAGGATTGCACGCAGTAAAAGAGCACACGTGACTTTTTAGAAAAAAAAACAATTGAAAAATAATCGGGTTTCAAAATTATAAACATGAATATCTAATCAATACTTGATCAGAAAAGGCTATAAAAAGTACCATTGTAAATCAGGCAGTCTCATCTTTACATGAAGGGTAACTTGAGGGGAAGAAGGCCAGCCACAACAACTTCTCGTCCGAGCCACATTCTCCTCATTTTCTCGTCCTAACCACCCTCGTCCTTCGATTATTATGTGTTAAAAAGTTACTAATTCTTGAAGATAAAACTATTTTTAACAAATCTGGCTACGTTAGGGCATATGGATAAACTAAAGTATTGCAATGATTATATCATATTTTAATCTTTAGAGACATGAGAATGATGTCAAACTTTATTTAGGTAAAACTTAAAACTCTTCTGCCTCCGTAATGTCCTACCTTCGTGATATGAAATAAACAGCAAAATATTTGGCATTCCTATGCCTATCATTTTCCCCATGCGAACCACCCAGAAAAAATCTATGATTTTCACTATAATTAAGAAAAAAGATTAAAGTTCTATAATCTTGAAACTATTTGCGGCATTCTACACCAGGAATATCTGATAATGCGTGTAAAAAAGTTGAATATCTTTCAGGACATAGAACTCAAAAACTTTAATTCCATTGAAACTATTTTTTTCAATTTATTAAAATTCAATATTTCATTTATGCCCTAACGTGGCCCGATTCTTAAAAAATTGTTTTACATTGGAGGACTAGACACTTTTGGAAAATAATATTGGAAGGACGAGGATTTCGAGGTGGCTCGGACAAGATGAGGAAAATGTGGCTCGGACTAGACATTGTTGTGGCTGGTCTTCCTCCCCTAGTCACTTTACAGTTCCTTTAGAGTGTTCAGCTTCCATGTTACAGGGGATTATTAGCTGCACTACAAGGATGACTGCTGCTCCTAAAGAGTTGACATGCTTCAGTTCCTATGACAGGTTTTAGCCATTAATTAGTTATACACAATGAGAAAAAAAACTTGACAAGTTGTAAGAAATTGTTAAAGGGAGTGACCGGCAATGTATGGCAGTTGAACTGTATGTAGAATTATGGAGAATTTTTTTAGGATTCATTTGAGACATATAATACGTTTTAATGATGTATAATTACAGAGTTTGAGCGTAAAGCCGACGTTCAAAATCCTCTATTTAAGTAGTTACGTTTTCAGAATCGGTTTCTTTTCAATCGTTAAATAACGACGACGAAAAATATATCATGAATTCTCCAATACATTAATTAGATGCTTAGAAACATATTTCTCAATGGAACTTTGTCAAAAAATAAATGTTAGAATCAAAAATATTCATTTTTCATCATCTTATTGAATTTCTTATTTTTTATGAATTTGTTCACAAAGTTTCTAAAATTCCTGTAAATCTAGAGAAAATGTTTGTGAACAATGAGAGATTTCAGAAACAAATCACTAAATTAGTTTTCTTATTTATCAATGATAAGAGTTAATTTTTATTTTCTCAACCTGTTCCAAAACAACCAATAAGTTTACTTAGAATTTTTTTTACATTTTTTTCTCGTTGTTATTTAATAATTTTTAAAAAATCGATCTCAAAACGTAACAACCCAAATGGATGATTAAAATTTGAAATTATAATGTTATATTTATAGGTACAGTCGGTGTAAACATGAGGAGACGATGGATCTATTTGTTGGAGAAGTATTTGAAAAATATATGTTGAAGAGTACTGAACCTTTCCTTTTCTACTGCTCTATACCACCATATACAAGGTACAGAACCTTCTCTTTTCTACTGTTCTATACCATCCATATACAAGGTACAGAACCTTCTCTTTTCTACTGCTCTATACCAACATATACAAGGTGCAGAACCTTTCCTTTTCTACTGCTATATACCACCAAATACAAGGTACGGAACCTTCTCTTTTCTACTGCTCTATACCATCCATATACAAGGTACAGAATCTTCTCTTTTCTACTGCTCTATACCAACATATACAAGGTGCAGAACCTTCTCTTTTCTACTGCTCTATGCCACCATATACAAGGTGCAGAACCTTCTCTTTTCTACTGCTCTATACCACCATATACAAGGTACAGAACCTTCGCTTTTACTACTGATCTATATCAACATATACAAGGTACAGAACCTTCGCTTTCACTACTGCTCTGTACCACCATATACAAGGTACAGAACCTTCTCTTTTCTACTGCTCTATACCACCATATACAAGGTACAGAACCTTCGCTTTTACTACTGATCTATATCAACATATACAAGGTACAGAACCTTCGCTTTCACTACTGCTCTGTACCACCATATACAAGGTACAGAACCTTCTCTTTTCTACTGCTCTATACCACCATATCAAGGTACAGAACCTTCTTTTTTCTACTGCTCTATACCACCATATACAAGGTACGGAACCTTTCCTTTTCTACTGCTCTATACCACTATATACAAGGTACAGAACCTTCTCTTTACTACTGCTCTGTATCAACATATACAAGGTACAGAACCTTCTCTTTTATCTACTGCTCTATACCATCATATTCAAGGTACAGAACCTTCTCTTTTCTACTGCTCTATACCACCATATACAAGGTATAGAACCTTATCTTTTCTACTGCTCTATACCACCAAGGTACAGAACCATCTCTTTTCTACTGCTCTATACCACCATATACAAGGTACAGACCTTCTCTTTTCTACTGCTCTATTATTGCTTAAGACTATTTTAGGCAATTGTTTAATGGTTCTACAGATAGCCCAGGATTCTTGAATATTGAATGGGCAGAGTTTGTTCACATTATTCTGTTAGAAGGCTCAATCAGGTAAATTATATTTTTATACTAAACATATTTTTAAATGATATTTTAAATTTTTATTTTGAATTTTATTTTTAGCTGTATTGTGAGCTGTAACCTGGTTAGAATGGAGAAAGGGGATGTTTTAAGGATT